TCATAACAACGGCTCTCACTGAGCAAGCATCCTAATGGACCAGGCATTTCCCACACATTACCTTCAATCCTCACATGAACCAGAGACCTTATGTATCAGCAGCTCCATTTTCCTGATGGAAAGCAATTCAAGCTCAGAGACGTTAAGTCACTTGCTCAAGGTCACACAGCAAATAGCTGACTGAGCTGGGGCTCCAACCTCGGCAGTTGGAGCCTTGACTCTTTCCTCTGCACTAGGAAATTTAACATCTCTTTTCATCACAGAAGAGCTCAAACGTTCACAAAAGTCAAAACAGACACTCGCCTCAAAACTAAAGATGAAGAGAGAGCAAGGAATGAGATGACTCCAAGATCAGACCCAAAAGCAAAGGAGAGGGGCTAAGGTGTCTGCAACCTAGGCTGCTACCAGGGTAGCAGCTGCAGGAGAAATGTCCCATGGACACAGCCAAGGAACAGAGTAGGCCCAGAGGGAACACGTGTGGAGGGTGACCCTGCAGCTTCAGGGGTCCTCTGGACACGTTTCTGACCTCAGTCCCTCCCCAGGGCCACACACGATAAGGCACAGTTGCCCCCAAGCAAACTCGGTTTGGTCCAACCCCTCCCCACTGCAGCATCTTTCCCCAGACCCACACCTATGCCCTCACCACACACGGATGCCACCGAGGTTGCATCTACACTGCAAATTCTCAAACCTCCGTGGGAATTTTTCAGACTCAGCCAAGAAGAGTCTGGGGCAAACTGTGCTCACCAACTGCGGGCCTCGGTATAGACCTGGATCCTGGAGACAGCCCATAAGGAATGTGCTCAGAAGTTATCAAAATAGCCCTGCCCGGTTTGGCTTAGCCTTAGTGGATAGAGCATCGGCCTGCGAGCTGAAAGGTCCCAGGTTCGATTCCGGTCAAGGGCATGTACCTGGGTTGAGGGCACATCTCCAGTGGGAGGTGTGCAGGAGGCAGCTGATTGATGTTTCTCTCTCATCGATATTTCTGACTCTCTATCCCTCTCCCTTCCTCTCTGTGAAAAGTCAATAAAATATTTTTTAAAACTTATCAAAATAGATATGTGTTTCCGGAGAGCCGCGGCAGGTGCCCGGGCAGCATGGAAAGAAGGAGGCAGGTTTCAAAGCAGCTGGCGTGGTCTCCAAAGTCCAGCTCAAAAACCTCCCGAGGCCGTCCTCTCTGTGAGCAGCACAAAGGCCCTGCATGTGACCAAACCTACACACACAGCCATACATAGGGGCTCCCGCCCTGAGGGGACACCACTACGCCAGGAATTCACACTGACGCATATTCTGCAAGGAATCTGGGGAAACAAATTATATAGGTCTGTAGACACACACACATGCTAACCATCCACATGCACACACACGCCCTCCCAGTCTCATCGGGTCTAGAAAGGGCTGTTTCCTCCAGAATTCAGAAGTGAGAGATGCGGAGAGAAACTGTGGTTTTGTGACCTGTCACGGTCAATGCCTTTAACCTCTTGTCTCCCCCTCCAAGCCCCTGACCTCTCAGCGTTATTCACGGAATTCTTGGTCCAGGTCACACCTCTCCCTCTCTGGGTGCTGAATGTAACAAACCCAAAGCCCCAAACCCAAATCTCTCAGGTCCCATTGTCTGCCAGGGTTGGGGATGGCTGGATATGGGAGCAAGGGGGAAGGGGGCGGGGGAGGAGTGCAATGCTAGACACCTACAAGGGAAGAATTCTTACGGTTCTGGGGCAAACAATGGGGAGGAAGGGAAAGACAAACTTCCACTCCATCCCGTCATGCCCCCCAGCACCAGCCTGCAAGCCCTCAGAGCCCACATCCACACACCCCACTCCCACGTGCCCAAAAGGAGACATGGTTCCTGGCAAGCGCGAGGAGCTTCCCTCCTGGGTGCCAGGAAGGCTTTCTGGCACCAATCCGCAGGCACCGGAGGAATACAGTGCTGGTGCAGTGGGGAGGGCCCGCCAGTGCTGGGCGCACGGTGCAGGTGTGAGGATGAGGGCTGACAGCCCCGCCGGGAGAGAGCCCTTTGAATCCCGAGAAAGGAAAACAGTGGCGCTCCTGGCTCCTGGCTCCTGGTTCCTGGCTCCTGCCTCCAGGCTCCTGGCTCCTGCCTGGCTCCTGGCTCCTGGCTCCAGGCTCCAGACCAGAGTTCAGATGTGCTCTGAGCTGTCCCTACCACAGTACAGTCACTCCTCCTCCTTTCCCCCACTTCTTCCCTTTTCCACTTTGATAAAGTTTGCTAAATCCTGGCTCCTGGCTCCTGCCTGGTTCCTGGCTCCTGGCTCCTGGCTCCTGGCTCCTGGCTCCTGGCTGGAGCAGGACCCTGGCAGGCACTGACTCGTCTACTGGCTGCGGAGCCCAGCCCCGGCGGTCCTACCCCCAGTTCTGAAGTGCGTCTGAGAGGGAAGGCCGCCTCGGGGCTCCCTGCGGGCGAGGGCGGGGGCGATACTCACAGGCGCTCGGTGTTCCGTGGGATGTTCTTGGGGATGGCCTGCATCC